TGCAAAAAAGGTTGGGGACCGCTGCACTAGAAGATGTGAAGGAGGCCATAGGAAGGCAATATCCCGGCAGCAGGACCTCTTCCTCCACCTTTGAACAAGGAGAAACAGGAGGAGCACTGTCAACACCCTGCAAGATAACCTCCAGCAAGCTACAAATATATGTGTCTGAACAAACTGTTAGAAACCGTCTCCATGTGGATAGAATGAGGATCTGACGTCCACAGAAGGGGGATGTTCTCACAGCCCAACACTGTGCGGGACGCCCTGCATTTGCCAGAGAATACCACGATGGGCAACTTCACCACTGCAGCCCTACGCAGCCTCCTATAGGAGGCAAGCCTGAAGATTTGCCTATACAACCTTTGGTGATTTAATGTATTCTAGCAAAGAACACTGATTAATTTATTATTCAAACAGCTATTTTTGAACTTTTTTGTGATTTTTTCTTTCCAAGGATTTGGTAGTTGATCATGTAGTTAAACAGCTGATTTTGCTGACTTGAGCATGCAGTCAAGCAGGCTGATATGGCTCATAAAGGTGAGCTGGCATGACATGAGTAAATAATTATTTTGCCTTTTTTTTTTTTTTTGGTTCCCAGAAAAAGGTAAATATAGTGAACAGACTCTGACCTAACCATACACCTAAGAGGGGGAGCAGTGTAGAGGTATAGGTGTAGAGTTTATCTACCTCTGAAATGATGAAAGTTTTCTGTATACGAAAAAACATTAGTAGATTCTGGTCCACCTTGCCCACAGGCCCTTAAAGACTTAAGAATTGGAAATTATTTTCAAGTAAAATATAAGTCAATTAATAACAAGGCAGAAAACAGGCCCAGCTTATGAGAATGGTGGCAGGTCATGTAAGACTTTTGACTAGATATTATTCTTGTATAAATCATTTCCACTACTCCTAGAATTTTTTTTTTGATGCAACACACATTTGAAGCTGATACTAGCATGTCGCTGTACAGTTAATCACCTATCTCTTTTGTATGATGCATTTTTCAAGCAGTTTGAATCCCAATCTCTCACAGCTTGGAATATAAATCAGCAGTGTAAAGGTGTTTGCAGATGAGGGAAATCATTTTTGAATGGTCCATTAAACAGATCTGTGAGATGTTTTACAGTACTCTTGTATGAATTCTCTGTTGTGCTACTTGGTCTGTTTGTTTACTCATTGTTCACAAATAACCATATAAACCCTTCACAGCCCAACTGCTTTAACATTAACATAATTAATAAATGGACAAAAGAATTATGTTGTGATGTTTTAGAAACCTTGTCATGTTTTATGCTGGGCTAGTTTATCATATTACATCTTAAGGTAAAAGTTTATGGTTATAATTTGAAAATTCTATAAATATGTTTAAGAGGAGTATAAGCAGAATTACTTTCACATAATTGTTTGGAATAGCCTATTTAAAATGTAAAGTTGCACAGAAATATTTAATGTTGCATTTTGTAACCTTGTGTTTAATGCAATCAATGCCAGATCACCAATTTCTCCTTTTCTTCAACCACCCGCATCGTTGAATCCTTCTTTTTAATTCATGCTACATGTTTGCCAGGAGTCTGAAAGGCCTTGACACAGTGTTCAGCCCAGTGGCCTAAAAGTGAATACTTACGTAATTGCCAACTGTCTCCAATCATTAGGGGCAGTCCTTAAAAAAGATATGCTTTGCCGACAGCTGCGTCCCCTCGCCTTTGCCAGCCTTTCAAATCACATTTGCTTTAAAGCTTTCGTCCATATTATTTTTAACCCTAAAGCTGTATGTGCAATGTAGAAAACAGCAGAATCTCAAAAAGGACACATTATTATGCAGAATAGTTCTGTATGAAGTAAGCAGGAAAATACTAAGAGCAGCTACTGTAGTATGGCTCATTGTTGACCTATAGACTTCCTGCTTAGTGAGCTTGTGCCACACAAAAAAAAAAAAATATCTACTTTTCATTTCTATGTAGATGGAAGCATCAGACATTTTAAAACCCTTACTACTGCAGGGGCCTTCAGTATCATTAATTTGCTTTTAATAAGATACAAAAAACTTTGTAATGAGCAGTTTGTCTTAACTGCAGATACTTTTGAACACTAGAGACCGCAAAATCAGCATCTTCTCACAGGTTTAAACAAGACACTGTCCAAAATTGAGTTTTTATCTACTTTGAAATATTTGTCAGTATTAACGGATCATCTTTTAACTTTTAATTCAAAATTGAGACTATTGTGATATGCCTTATTTGATGCTTCTATTCATTGTCTTTAGATGCTTAAAACATGGGTACCAAAGATTCACCTGTCCGGTGTAGGGGTTATCAACCTTGATTGCTCCAATGACTACGGGCACTACTATTGCCTCCACCTTTCAGGTTCTTTTTAGTTCTTCCATTACCCTATGGAATATCTCCAATTTGTCATGTTCTTTTTTGCTAATGTTTCCAACATTTGAGATGGCCACATGGATCATCAAGGCCATTCTCTGCTGCTTATCAATGATCACATTGTCTGGCCAAAACAATTCTGTCTGTTTGTATCTGGGAGACCCGCAGGATCTTACCTCTTTCATTCTAGGAGGTGGCTCCTATTTTGAACTAGGGGTCTCTAGTTATATTCTGCATAGATGTTCTATTCAATATGTCAGCCATTTTGAAATGAGGTTCCATCTATTCCATCCCTGGCAGTATCTCCCATGCTGCTGGGTCTTTCTGCATGGAGTTGGCATGTTCTCCCCATGCATGCATGGATTCTCAGCAGGTACTCCAGCTTCTTCCCACAAACCAAAAACATGGTAAACAAATTTACCATAGGATTGTGCATGTTTGTGTGTGGGGGCATAAACATATAGGCAAAAACCTGTAAGTTCTTATAAAATGATAATTTATTTGGTAACAAGAGGTGCAAGCAATAAAAAAACAAAAAACAAAAGGAGGGTGGATGAGGGTGCTGTGAAAATAACAAACCAAGTTAAATAAAAGAGATCCTCAAAAGGAGGACCATGCCTAACTATACATTTAAACAGAGAAGATTCT